AAAGTGACCATATGGCATGGTGGGCAGACCTCTCCTGTCTCACCCACTGCTTCCCTCAGCAGTTATTTCAGCTAATCTGCCTGTTCTGCTCCCCACTCTGCCTCTGGTGTATCCTCTAGCCTCCCCACACCTCTGGCCTGTACCCCAGTTCTTGTATACAAAATAAAATCTTTTAAAAATATATAAAATTATGAAGACAAAGCATCAGTAAGTCCTCAGGAATAGACAGTGAGCCTTAAGTCTTATGGAAAAGTTGTATTTATAAAGTCACTTTCATTTTCCCATTGCTGTATCTGGATCCAAACATTTCTCCAACTGTCCTAAAGTTCTATACAAATATTCTTCTGATCTTTACACTAACTTAGTGAATCGTATGCTATTGTTGACTCTAACTGAGGAGTTGCCCAAGGTCACACAACCAGGTGAGTAGTCTGGCTACAGAGTCCATATTTTAAACTGCACCGTACTGCTAATTTTTTTTTTATTTACAGTTAAGTATCTACCATCTCAGTATCAGAAAAGAATATGCCTTTTCTTTCCTGCACTGCCACCTCTCATTCTCCTAAGTGTGTATATAGTTCAGTGTTATTGGCTGCTGATGTCCTATCATAAGGCAGTTCCAATTTGGAGCTTTTTTTTTAAAAAAAGATGTTTTAAATTTATAAATATATAAATAAAAGGGGGTATAGGCCAGAGGTGTAAGGGGGTAAGAGGATTCACAATGTGAATCCTCCAATGTGGGGAGCAGAACAGACTGACTAAATGAAATATATTACTGAGGGGAGCAGTGTGCAAATCAGGAGAGGTCAGTGTGCAAATCACCATGTAGGTCACCTCCCTGACTGGGAACTGAACTCATATTGCAGATTGCTTCTTAGTGTGCTTTAACCCGCTGAGCCACCAGGGAGGGCTCCAACTTAGGCTTTTAAACATGTTAAGAAAAATTTATTTTCCTTCAGTTACAAGCACTAAACAAGGACTCTTTTTCCCAATGTATTTTCCATTTTTCTAAATTACCTTAAAAAAAAAGCTTAATTTTCAAAAATGTAGGCTATTTTACTGATACTATAATTAAAAGAATATGACTGATTTCAGCGATGCCTAAGCTTTCTAATCTTGAAAACAAAACAAAAATTGCTAACAATTTGTACTTTTGAAAAATTTCCATAAGGAAAACAGAACCCTCACAGGTTCTATAAAGGTAAAGAAAGGTATTTTTCTTCCCTTTCAAATTCTATGGAATGTAAAATATTTAATTTCTGAATTTGAAAGGCAGTTACAATGAATAGGAAGCAGAAACAGGTTAACAAGCTGAAAATACATTAAGTGACAGAATATATGAAAAAGAGGGTAGAATATGCTTGGTATAGAGAAGTGATGACATTTGATTAATATCTATAACCTACCAACTAAAAGACAAAATTACAAAGGAATTAAAGTCAGGACTGTTGATTGAGGTTCTAATTTTTGGCCCTGAGCCAACAGGTGTCTCAGACTAGAAGTCTTACTTAAAATAACCCACTTTTT